TCTGACCCTTAAGTAAAAGTAAATTAAACATAAAGTCTGACCGCGTCAACCTTGTTGCACCGGCTAGTCCTATTGAGTGTCTGCTGTATTTACCCAATGCCCGGGCGATACAGAACAAACTGGGACCGGAAAGGTTGACCCGGCTTGGATATTCAAATTTACTACGGCTGCCGTGTCAAACCTTTCTCCATGGAAGATGTCATATTTATTCTGTCTGAAAAGAGACAAATTTTAAAGAACTTACTTCAATGTCTCTTTTGCATTAGTCTCTCTTTTTGAAAAATCGCAATTCAAAGATAAAATGTTTCTGTCATTCATATCCTTTGCAGCAAAAGGTATCATTATAGATGTTTATTCCTATAAATAGTTAAAACAATTTAACAATTCTTAGATAAAAATGCCTTTACAAATGTTGGTGGGGGTTCAAAAATAAAAAATTTATCAAAAAAATACAATTATTGAAATTTGTTGACAGTGGACTAAATTCGGATTTCATAAAATGGGAATCTTAATTTTTACTTTAAAAAGTAAGAATTGCAGAATGCAATGGTATTAAGACCTAAACTTTTTTTCCCGCTGCATTCTTTCATATTGACTATTTTGAGTACAGTTTTGTAAATGTGCACTGCATAATTGATATCAAGACATTTTAAGCTAATCTTGATTTAAACAAAATTGAAATGTTATTCTTTGGCATTTTCTCGTCAATCTTGGCATTCAAACCTTTCAAGGAATAAGATTAAGGAGAATTCTTATATTTCAAAATATCTATTATTTAATTCAACACAGGAAACCTTTGATACTTTATCTAGCTGATCAAAAATGTGGAAGATATCTTCGTTTTTCTAACTTACAAAGCGTTAATTTTCAAAATTAAACAGCATTTTTTCTGTATAAAGAAATGCATAAGTAACTTTTGAAGAAAATAATTAGTTTTAAAAATTGAAATATGAATATCTTGTTCATTCTTTATTAGAAAAAGCTTTTGTGAATCAGACATGCCATTCTATAATCAGTAAAAGCTCACATTAAGCTTACTGTTCTGGACAATAATTTCTATAGTTGTTTTTTTAATTTTTTTAAATTTTAAAAAGAAACTTTTTATAAAGGTTTTCTTTGATCCTTCTTTTTTGAATTCATGAATTTTCATTTATAAATAAAAAGGATGAAAAGATAATCTTTTAATAAGAATTTTTTTAACCTTTTTTAAAGCTTTGAAAGTTCTCAACTTGTGTCCATCTATAAACGTCAGAAAGTATTGAAAATGTCAATATTAAATCAAGGAATATTTTCAATTTGATAAACTGGACGTTTTTGCATTGATCCTTATCAATTATTCTTTAACCAACACAACTTGAAAACTTTTATATTCAAAAATCTTTAAAAGGGTGGAAAAGCCTAAATACAAATTTTGAGATAGAAAATATGAAAACATCTTTAAAGCACTTCAGTATGCCGAGTCCATTAGCGCCTGATCCAATCAGGGTTCAGTCATGTGTTTGTTGTTTATTCTGAACCAATAGAAATAGTATGATGGTAACATCTTTCTATATATCTCATTATCCAATTAGAGATGAATTCTTCAATCGGCTCTATCAGTTAATGAAAATATTTACTTCTACTGAAACTATAGTGAAAGGTTTGAAGCTTGATTTTTGGTTTCTGATTTCGAATTTTGTACAATTTTCTCTGAAGTCTCATTCTTTGTGGGTAACCCTGTAGTTTCAAATAACCCTCCATGCACAACGGAAACCTTTAAATTAAACCCATTCCATATTATCAACATGAGTCAATAAGTACTCAAAGAGAAATGTTTATTGGAGTAATCTTTTAGTAGGTTTCTAACTTTGACTGAAAATCATTGGATCTGTTAATAAGAAAGGTTTAACTTACTTTATAATAGGAAGAAAAAGTCTCAGTTTAACCCTATTCCTCCTACTTTTTGGAAAGCCAATTTGTTATAAGGAAACGAATTGCAAAAGTTTTGTGAAAAAAATTGTAAATTTTTTGCAAACAACCTGTAAAAGGAAATTTGCACATTTTTAGCTTTTCTAGATTAAAAAACAGGTTATTTAAAATTTTGCAAAACTTTTTGCATATTTGGAATGGCATGGTTTTAAAAATGTCTAATTTTTAATTTTTTGGTCAATTTTTTTTTTTGCAAACATTTTTACTATATAACTAGATTTTGCGATAAAAAATTTAATTTTTGCAAATTTGCAAATTTTTTTGCAGATTCTAAAAGTAGAGCACAAGAGCTTTTCAATGATGTATCATTTGTCATATTTGGACATCAAACATGGGATTTAGAGGGGGGGGGGGGGGTCATTTGACCCCCCCAGCATATCCTGGTTTTCAAGTACCCCAGCAGATTCTAATATGCCACAAATTCTGATATGGATAAGACAATTTTAGCTTGTGACAAATACTCGATAAAGTTTTTAAAATAAATTTCAAGTTAATTCATTTAAACGAATTTTTCGAATAATGCAAGTCAATATTTTAAATTTTAACGCGAAAAAAGACTAATTTGATATTGATTTTCTTGAACAAAATTGAATTTTACATTTTCCTTTGGAGTAATTAATATGTTGAATGTTAATTACTGTTGAATTAATTAGTGTTAATTACCATCCCTCCGATGGAGTTGATAGAGTAAAAGTGTAAAAATCCACTTATAAATAAGGAATTAGTGTTCTGAGTGTTAATTAGCACCCTTCCGATGGAGTAGTAGTGTGGCCTTAGTGTGGACAATGTAAATAGCCATCACTTAAAGATGAAGTAATTAGTGTACTCATTGTTAATTACCATATCTCAGATTGAGTTGAGTGACTTGAGTGTAATTAGCCATCACTTAATAATGGAATAATTAGTGTTCTGAGTGTTAATTACTATATCTCAGATTGAATTGTTTGACTAGAGTGTAAATAACCATCACTTAAAGATGAAGTAATTAGTGTTCTGAGTGTTAATTACTATATCTCAGATTGAGTTGAGTGACTTGAGTGTAATTAGCCATCACTTGAAGATTGAGTAATTAGTGATCTTAGTGTTATTAATTTTATCTCAGATTGAGTTGAGTGAGTTGAGTGTAAATAACCATCACCTTAAAGATGGAGTAATTAGTGATCTTAGTGTTAATAACTATGTCTCAGATTGACTTGAGTGACTTGAGTGTTAATAACCCTCACTTAAAGATGGAGTAATAAGTGATCTGAGTGTTAATTACTATATCTCAGATTGAGTTGAGTGACTTGAGTGTAATTAACCATCACTTAAATATGGAGTAATTAGTGATCTTAGTGTTAATAACAATATCTCAGATTGACTTGAGTGACTTGAGTGTAGTTAACCGCCACTTAAAGATGGAGTAATAAGTGATTTGAGTGTTAATTACTATATCTCAGATTTACTGGAGTGACTAGAGTGTAATTAGCCATCACTTAAAGATTGTTCTGAATTTTATTTACTATTCCTGAAAGTCCAATGAAGAAATTATACTAAATATAATGTCTTATGGTAAAAAATACCATCCTTCCGAATAAAGTAGTTTATGGACAACAGACAAACATACTGACAGACAAGTAAAGTAAATATAGATACTGATGTTTTATTAATATTGAACATTTGGTTTCAATTCAGAATATTATAATTGCAGTAAATTTTGAATATGTAATATATTTTATGAAAAACGTCCAATTACATCTTCTGACGTAGAAATTTCGACAAAAACACAGAAAATAATTTTAACAGACGGATGTGCATTGAGTTTATTTAATATATTTGTTATCTGTGTTAATAGGCGATGATGTCCAAAACAATAATAAAAAGGATCCTTCCAAAATACGTTTTTTTGTTGAAATATTAGTCAATGGTCATAGGGAAATATTTTAAATCCGGGTATTATATAAAAAAATGACATCTTTGAAAGATTTAGTATAAGTGCACATACAGAGTGAGAACAGGAAGACTATGGAAAAGGAAGACGACATTATAACAATGCTTAAGTGAATTTCATGATGCATGCAAATAGCTTAACATTAAACTTTATAAATCACTAATTAGTGAAATAGGTTTGTTTACTCTGCACAATTGCTGCTGTGCATGATCATAAAAGTTTAACGACTTAAACTGCTAAGAAATAATATGCTAGGAGAAAATAATGCATTAGACAGGGTTAAACAAAAAAAAATAAGAAACATAATGAACCCATGCAGCTATAAATTTCTTTATTTCTTCAACAAAGGAATTGAATATTTGTCACAAACTATGATTTTCTAATCTCTATATCTTTGTAATCTAATGCCGTAGACCTTAGATATTTCAAACTATGAATTCTGTTAGATGAAAAAATCTAAGTTTAAAATATTAAAGGTTTACACCATCAAGTGGAAAAAATATAAGTATTAGAAAATTAGAGTTTTTTACAAAGACTCAATTCCTTTCAAAAGTCTTTGTGGGTATCCCTGTGGCCTGTGTTTACAGATTAAAAACTTTTTAGTATTTTTTTCAGATATGGAGCTCTACACAACATTTAATTTCTAAAACATGTTTTTTTGAAGTCACCCTGTAAATATACTCTAAATTGAATGTGTATACATGGTGAGCTGAAAATTGAAAAGTTAAATCTAAAAATTCCAATCAAATACTTTTTTTTTAATCAAGTTGACAACGAAGTGCACAGATACAGTGGCGCCTTCGTTCCATTATTTATTCAGTCTTTTCAACTTTTGCATAAAATCTAGATATTTTTACTCAATATTTTCATTCAAAGCTGTGGATGCGGAGAAACTTTAGAAAATTAATTGGAGGCGCCGTTAACAAATACATAATTAATCTACGCATGGTGTTATCTTTTAAACAATGTCATGCAACCCATCTCCCCCCAGTAGATGATCTATTTCCAACCCCTTTTAAAACACATCAATCTGCATTGGGGGGCAATTATTCCTTTAAAGAGCTATAAAATGTACTCCTGCTAAAAGTATTTAAGAAATGTACATTTACGGGCTAAAGTATTCTAGGTTAAACATTGTTTGTATTCTTAGTTTTGTTCAGTTCTCCACCTACACTCCTCCTCTAGACAGGTAGACAGTTAGACAGGTAGACATGTAGACAGGTAGACAGGTAGACAGGTAAACTGGTAGACAGGTAGACAGGTAGACAGGTACACAGGTAGACAGGTAGAAGGTAGACAGGTTAACAGGTAGACTGATAAACAGGTAGACAGGTAGACAAGAAGACAGGTAGACAGGTAGACAGGAAGACATGTAGATAGGTAGACAGGTAGACAGGTAGACAGGTAGACAGGTAAACAGGTAAACAGGTAGACAGGTAGACAGATAGACAGGTAGACAAGAAGACAGGTAGACAAGAAGACAGGTAGACAGATAGGCTGGTTGACAGGTAGGCAGGTAGACAGGTAGACAGGTAGACAGATAGGCTGGTTGACAGGTAGGCAGGTAGACAGGTAAATAGTTAGACAGGTAGACAGGTAGTCATGTAGACAAGTAGAAAGGAAGACAAGTAGTCAAGTAGACAGGTAGACAGGTAGACAAGTAGACAAGTAGACAAGTAGATGTGTAGATAAGAGTTAAGTAGACAAGTAGAAAAGAAGACAAGTAGACAAGTAGACAAGTACACAAGTACACAAGTAGACAAGTACACAAGTAGACAAGTACACAAGTAGAAAAGTAGACAGGTAAACAAGTAGACAAGTAGACAAGTAGACAAGTAGACAAGTAGACAAGTAGACAAGTAGACAAGTAGACAAGTAGACAAGTAGACAAGTAATCAAGCAGACTAGTAGCTACAAGGAGAAAAGTAGACAAGTAGACAAGTAGACAAGTAGACAAGTAGACAAGTAGACAAGTAAACAAGTAGACAAGTAGACAAGTAGACAAGTAGACAAGTAGACAAGTAGACCAGTAGACAAGTAGACACATAGACATGTATACATGTTGACATGTAGACAAGAAGACATGTAAATAGGCAAACAGGTAGTCATGTAAACTGGTTGACCGGTAGGCGGGAAGACAGGTAAGCGAGAAGATAGATAGAAAAGTATCAATAGAAAGGGATATATGTTTTAATGGTATTACATTTTTAAGTTCCTTGTTTAGATCTTCTGATAAAGCATGGATGCTATCAGGAAAAAGATGCAGAGCTTGAAGGGGGAGACGGACACCTTATATGCCACCATTAAAAGGTTTGAAGAGGCCACCAGGGAGTTTGTTGCAAGGGCTGATCAGGTAAACCATATTACTGAAAACTCTGCCGAACTTGAACAGCACACATATATCCTTACAAAAGGAAAGCAAACTAGATGAATCATCCCTTCTTGTGAGATTTTTCAATGGTAATGTTTTATTTTACAAAGGTTGCCATTTAAATGTTTTCATAGGCTGACTGTGATCTGAGAGATTATGGAAAAAAGGTTCAGCAGCTTGAGATTGGATTTGATGAAACCAACGACCAACTACTCAAAGCTACCGAGTCCCTGGAGGAGAAGGAGAAGATGTATAAGGAGGTTGAAAGTGATGTGGCAGCACTCTCTCGTAGAATCATGCTCATGGAGGAGGAAGCGAAGAAATCCGAAACAAATTTGGCTGAAACTGTCACCAAGCTTGCTGTTTGCTCCAAAGATGCTGACAACATCCTAAAAGGCGTAAAAGTTGTTGAAAGCAAATGCCTGAACAATGAAGCCACCCTTGAAGAGCTTGACAAAAATTTACGCTCCACCACTAAGATGGCATCAGACAATGAACAGAAGCTGGATGAATTGTCTAGAAAGCTGGGTGTACAGGAGGGAGAACTCAAGCGTGGTATTGAGAGAGCTGAACTTGCTGAGAGCAATCTCAAGGTACAATTTAATAACATTTTATTGTTATTTTTAAATGCACCAAACCACCTTAATTTGATGCCACACCCAAATTTGTTTCATACAGGGTGTCCCAAAAAACATGGGAATTCAGTGACGGATTCGATATCGTCTTTATAAATAATTCTTTGATTTAGTATATTGATACCTACAGAGAAAGCTGTAATCTGTAAGAGTTTCGTCTGCTATGTTCACATTTTGTTTGTTTATGTTTTTACTGCATACGGTAAAACAAGAAAATTGCAGTATACAAACAGAGTAAACTTGTCCGTCTTAACTGATCATCTTGCGGAGACATTATAGACACACCTTTACAGTCTTTTACCCTTTCCATAAAATAAACTCTAGAAGACAATAATATTATGGCGTTTGAAATTAGGTATTACAATGCTAATTCATAACAAAGACGATATTCAATTCGTCACTGAATTCCCATGTTTTTTGGGACACCCTGTAGTATCCATTTTCCTCAATATGGAATCATCACTACCTTAATTTGTAATCACCATAAATTCTTGTTTTCTGGAATGCAGACTGTAAGATCCTTTCTAGTGAGATTAATATTTTTTCTCTCCGGCGAACCTGACGTTGCTCAGTCTTTTAAAGTAACTCCCGTCAATTATCCTCGCATGGTTTTAAAATATGGGTTCAGCTGAAGTTCCCTATAGAATTAAAAAAAATAAAAAAAATATGTATAGCCTATGTGACCCCAGTGGTATCAATGGGTTCCTTAAAAAATTAAACCAATTTGGTCCAGCTATAACGATTATAAATATATCATGCACCTCTGCCCCTTTAGTAAGAGTAAATTCAGCCTATATGAAGCATAAAGTCTGACTGCGTCAACCTTGTTGCACCGGATAGTCCTGTCCATAGAGCTAAATACGGTACAAACTCGGACCGGAAAGGTTGACCCAGCTCGGAAATTCAAATGTACTGCCCGTGATATACACATGAGCAAAGAGCATTTTTATTTACATATATTCTATATTCTCTCTTCATGTATATCCCCTTGTTTAGAAGGTTGAGGATGAGCTGGAAGGAGTGGGGGAGAACATGAAGGTTCTTGAGAAATCATCTGAGAAGGCGATGGAGCGTGAGGAGAAGCTTATTGATAAAATTCTTCAGTTCCAGCAGAAATTTAAGGCCGCAGAGGCCAGGTAAAATAAAGCCATTTAAAAAAAATGTTCTCCATAAAAAAAATAATTAGTTTCCACACAGAAAATAAAGCAGGTTGTTAGGCTGAATTCAGATTATATAGCTACTAATTTGACTTCTATCTGTTGCATCCGGCATAACAATTTATAGGTATTTGGGCACGAGTTAAAAATCTTTTGACCACTCTGATCAGTTACAATGAAACTTGCGTCTATAAGGAGACAATTCTCAGATTTCTCCAGCAAGAGACACCTAGAGACCAAGGTTTTTCAAATTACAAGTTTACAAATAAACAAAGAGAAGCTGTCAATTGAGGCTTCTTTTGTGAATTTACCTTATTTCTACGCTCTATGGAATTGAGCGTTTTCAATAAATTTCTCATCATAGATGCACTATTTATGTATAGAACGAAACCTTGTAGCAATCAAATTCAAATTTGATCAAGATTCAGTCTACCCCCCCCCCCCTAACATTTTTCGCTAACACTCCCTTAACGAAAATCATTTGATTTTAGGTTTGAGTATGGTGAGATGAACATTACTAAGCTCAATCATAGAATTGATGATATTGAAGATGAAATTTACAGAGAGAAACTCAAGATTAAGCGTACAGCTGACGAACTTAACGATACCTTCGATGATATGATGAATCATTACTAGCCATTTAAAAAATTTAAAGAAAAAAATGGTCTTTGTAAAATTTACTGAAGCAAGTATAAAATAAACATGGATTATTGACAAGTGTAGAGAATTTTTAAACAGTTGATGTCAGAAAAAGTTTATTTTGACAGATTTACCATGAAAGACATTTGTGCATTTATTATTGACAGATCCAACAATGACTGTTGCAATTTTCAAGATGTCTTTAAAGTAAAAGTATTGGATGTTTACAGATCTGAAGAGAAACTAAAAAATTGTTATGAAAAGTGTTGAATGCTGGACGAATTCTTGGAATCATCGTTAGAACCTTTCAAAACTTTAGAAACAATATTTTTTCTTCCAACAAAGACAAAAGGGAGACTACTCAAAGTCAAAATCAAAGTCAAAGGGACTGCAGATGTAATTTAAAGAGTGGCGTTTTAGATTCAAAACACAACCCTTTCAGTTACTTTATGAATTTACACATTATGTCTCTTTTGGAGAAACCCACAATTCAAAATCAACTTAGTAATAGAACAATAACAGTCAAAGGTTTAAATTTCCTATAGTTCAAAAGATTAATAGATCAGATTCTTAAACAGCGTTTATCCTTTAAAGTCAATTATTGAGAATCCAACATGCAACTTTAAAAATTGACCCTATCCCAGCTGGGCTATTCCCCCCNGACCATAATTTTGAGATAGGGGAGTGTGATACATGTCCTTAGTCTATTTGTTCAAGGCCTGTTCCTTAAAAAAAATGAGACCTCTAATTTCAATGTGGAGGATTTAACAAAAAAATCAAAAAGATAACAGTTTATCAAATTGCGGGACTGATAACGACATTTCAAAACATCAAAATACATAAAAACAAAACAAAAATTTGGTGCAATTTTCATGAAAGTTTAGCTGAAAAAAAGAACAAAAGTTACAGTTTTTTAAAACCCGACCGTTTCGTTTTCATTTTCAATTCGCTAATCCGTTTCGTTAACATTTAAAAATTAATGGTTTATGCCGTTCGTTTAAAAACCTCCGTTTCATTAACGGAAATTTGCTCAGCCCCAGCTAACACTGATTTCATTGTCTTACTATATTGCTTCTCACTCCTGATTGGTTAAAGAAAATAACTGTTAATATAACATACTTTAATCCTTAATATGTAATCCCTCCCAAGTCCCAATCCCTAATTCAATATGAAGAAAGATTATATTAATAATTACTGTGACCTGAATGGTTCAAATCTCGCCTACAATATAATGTAAATACTAAATATTCAATCTTCACATTAAACTAAGCTAGTGGGATAGGCCAAGTAGGCCTATGATAGACACAGTACTTAAAAAAAGTAAAAAAAAACCGAGGATAAGGATAAGGTTGGGCGCGCTGGTACTTGCCGTGACGCGCGAGCGTCACTAAGGCTGGTACAACGGGTCGGTCCAGTTCGAATCCAGTTCACCATTTCTTCAATATGAAAACTCTGCTTTGTCTCTGGTCTTATAACAGTCAGGGAATCAACTCACTTCAACCAGTTACAGGGTGAACCAAACGTTTAGACAACATGGAGAAGCATTACTTACAGGGAGTGTTGGCGTAATTTCAAGTGATCCTTCATGCAAAGATTTACAATTTTACAATCTAATCAAAAATATGTTTTTTGTTTTGTTTAATATGATAATCTCTCCATTGCTTTATGTAAGCAATATATCTAATTCATACTTGATGCGACAAAGCTGTTAATGGTATCGTTGTAAATTGGGCATTGTCGTCTTTGCACGCAGGGTCACTAAAAATTACGCAACAGTCCCTTTAGAGTAGAAAAAACGCTTCTTATGCATAGGGATGGATCGTTTTAACATTTTTAAAACGATTGTTTCACTTTAAAAAACTACGAAGCAAAACGAAAAAGGAAATGGTTATTTTCAAAAACGATCAATTTAAAAAAAGTTCGTCGATTCACTAACAAAAGTAGGTCGTTTTTAATTTTTGACAATCGTTAACGACCTTTTTAAGACAAAATACTTTTTTGTTCAAAAAATCCTTTTTCTATATCTTTAGGTCAGAAAGTATTATTCATTTAGTTATTTCTCTATAGATAACATTTATAAAATTATCTTCCTAAAAAAATCAAATTAATTAATTTAAAACTCAAATTCATTTGCAACATCTTTTCAAAATTGTTTCGTTTTCTAAAGGTTCAGAATGATTGTTTTGTTTTCAAAAACGATGGGTTTTTTTTATAAAAATTAAACAAATAAATCTATATTTAGACCAATCTTCCAGTCATCAGATTTTAACATCGTATTTGACTTTGGAAATTTTTTGCAGAATTTTTGCAAAAAAAAATTTCACAGATTTTTGCACAGACGCCTTTAAAATTTTGCAATTATTTTTGCATTAATGAATTTGCTGTGTTAAGGGCTTTTCAAACACAATAATTTGTTGCGATTTGCGCAATTTTTTGTTTGCACATTTTTTGCTTAATAACTATATTTTGCAATAAATATTTTGATTTTGCAAATTTTTCATTTTTTTCCAGATTATTGAAGTAGAGCTGAAGGGCTTTCCAAAAACGTATCAAATGTTATAGATTTATATCACAATAAGAAAATAGAGGGGGGGGGCGGGGAAAAATTGATCAGTTAGTAAACCAGACGTCAGGTTAAATAGGGTAAATCCCCAAGTCTTCAACTTTTTGAAAAAATGTGCCCCGCTTTGGACTCAGAAAATAAATTATTTAAAATTTATTTAAAAATTTTAATTTTGAATATGATAGATAGATAGATAGATTTTAGTTAAATAAATGTTAGTAATGGTAAATTATTTTTAAAAACTTTGTCTCACAAAGATTTATTCTTGGGACACAAATATATAGCTTAATTTTTTAATTATTTAAGATAATTTAACTTAATTATTTTTACACATTCAACACACATGAATATTAAAATGGTAAATGGCGTCATTGCAACAATCTCAAATTTTCTAATCCTTATTTCCATCTGACTGTGTGTAAACCTTTAAAATTCAAACTTATACTATTTGATCTATTAGGTATACGACATTAGGTTGCAAAGATACAGAGATTAATAAATCAGAGTTTCTGGCAAAAATTCAATTCCTTTTTAAGTTTTTTGCTTAAATTGGTATGCAGGGATGAGTTATCTTACGTTATGACTAGAAAGTTACCGTTAGTTAAAAATAGAACTATTGTATGAGCAGTTTTAGTTTCTTAAAGGGAGTGACCGGCTATGTAAGGTAGTTGAACTGAGTATGCAGTGTTGTGGAAAGCTTCTTTCGGATTCATTTGAGACATATTAAACTTTTTAAAGATCTGTAAATCCTGAGTTTGAGCGCATATTTGATGTTCAAAACTTCTACTTTGGGGGTGGTAACGTTTTCAGAATTATTTTTTTTTAATTCTTAAATAACGACGACATAAAATGTAAAAAAGTTCTACAATAAACTACAGACGTCATGTATAGGAACATAAAAATTAATAAAAATTAATCTTATAACCGAAAATAAGTAATCTTGTTCAATTATTAGTTTCTATTATCTCATTATTCTGGTTTCTCATTATTCACAAAAGTTTTCGCCGATTTGCTAGAATTATTTTTGAAAAGACGACATTTGAAGAATTTGAAGAAATTTGAGAATAAACTCAAAGAAAATTAGAAATTCAATATAATAATGAAAACGAAATAATCGATTTTAGCATTGATTTATTCTTTTGAGAAATATGTTCCTAACCATCTAATTACATTACTGTTTAATTTGTACTTTATTTTTCGTTGTCGTTATTTAATAATTAAAAAAAACTAATTCTGAAAACGTATCCACCCCAAATTAGGAGTTTTGAACGTCGAATTTGCGCTCAAACTCAGGATTTACTGATCTTTAACCCTATCTCTGCTGGGGTACAAGAAAACCAGGATATGCTGGGGGGGGGGGGCAATTTGACCCCCCCCTCTAAATCCCATGTTTGATGTCCAAATATGACAAATGATACATCATTGGAAAGCTCTTGTGCTCTACTTTTAGAATCTGCAAAAAATTTGCAAATTTGCAAAAATAGAATTTTTTATCGCAAAATCCAGTTATAAAGTAAAAATGTTTGCAAAAAAATTATACATGTCATTTCAAATATGCAAAAATGTTTGCAAAATTTTAAATAACCTGATTTTTAATCAAGAAAACTGAAAATGTGCAAATTTCCTTTGACAGGTTGTTTGCAAAAAATTTGCAATTTTTTATTGCAATTCGTTTCCTTATGGCAAAAGCTTTCCAAAAAGCTAAATTTTATCAAAATCTGACAAGTGGAAGTGGGTCAAAACAAAGATTTAGTTTGTTACAGGAAAAAGCAGTCATTCAAGCAGTGTGCCTGAGGACTCAGGCAGTTAGTATTAAAGCCCGGTTTTAGGCCTAAAGGGAAAGCTTTGGGTATGTAGGAAAAGTCAGAAAATTTCAACAGCCATATGCCAACACTTTTTGAGCTATGTAAAAAAAACTACAGGAATAGGGTTAATAGGCTTAAAAAGTTTAATATGTCTCAAATGAATCCGAAAGAAATTTTCCACATCACTGCATACTCAGTTCAACTACCTTACATAGCCGGTCACTCCCTTTAAATAACAATTTGATTTTCTTAATTTTCTTGTTATTATGTATAAAGACCTTGCAAGTTGCATGCCTATCAATGATATTCACAGACTATTTTAATTGCTACGTATTTAAATTTCAAATATTTTTCTACTAATGGATGTGACTCTGTCCTTTCTTCGCATGCAATTTAATCCCGATCATGAAATATGTCTTTATTTCAAAAGAAAATTCAACTTCTTAAAAATATATTTTCGCATTTGACAATAGACAGCTGTCTTCACATCTAGTCAATATTGTTGTGGTTGTACACTACTGTCAAACCTCAAACAAATTGAATTTAAAACGGAATTCTATTAATTTTGGCGCCAATTCCAGGCTGCTTTGGTCATGCAAGAAACTGGTTTATGGCGGGAATATTTTCCGATTCCTGGAATTTGTTTCGCGGCATTGCACTATTATGCTCCACCATGATGGATTTTAATCAAAACTTTCATTCTTTCATAGAAGTTATTCTAATCAAAATAGTTTTAAACTAGAATTGTTTATTTAGTTTATTATATACAAATACTTCGGTGGAATAATTTTTTAATGTTTTGATTAGAAATTGAACGCAAAAACATATAAATCTTCTTTTATCGTATTTTCATATTCTCCCATTTAAAGGGACTGTTGAGTGTAAACGTAATTTCAAATCAAACATGAATTATATTCTGACACGTATAATGCACAATGGTACCCTGTAGAAAATTGTCTGATCATCACAGATAAATCTGTGTGTTTGTGTCAACAATTGTGGAAAGCTAAACAAGCAAACTTCAAGCTTGCAGTGTAAATATTTCATGTCTTCGCGGTTTTTGAAATTAAAATAAAAATATTTTATATTTTATCCCAGAATTTTCAATTTTATTTTTCAATATAACCAGAGCTGAAAACTATTGAATCGTAGCTTAGATATCAAGATCAAGAATTGCTAATTTGTAGATTAAAACTTTATCCCGTAAATATCGAGTGTAGGCTGTGGAAAATAAACAGCCAATCAGAAGCCAGGAGGCAGGAAACCTTGCATTTATCCAAAATCAAGCAGATTCTGCGTAAAATTCATAATTGCCTAATATGGATATCAAGATCAAACGATCGGGATAATGGGTATCCTACACAAAAGTTTCCAGTTGCATCAATTTTCAGACTGGGTTGACTTTAAAGCGTTCCAACGCATTGACCTTGAATTTTATTTAACTAACTCACTTTTACTTTTTCATATTGCCAGACATTCTAGAACCTTTAACCATTTGATTTTGACCTTAGTTTTTAACTAGTAGTTGGCAAAACGTTTAAGGATTTTTGTGCAAGAGCTAACCATTGGATTACTGTGGGATATCTTTATCATTATCAATTAGTTTAAAAAAAATATTGTTTTGAATTTTTAGTCACTTCTTCTGTGAATTCATAAACCAGCAAAGAAATTATACAAATTAGTTAGTTTTGATTTATTGCAGTTGCAGTTCAATGCACATGAGACCTGGACATTTTATTTGCATATCAGTATGCAGTATGCAGTATGCAGTATGAAGTATGCAGTATGCAGTATGCAGTATGCAGTATGCAGTATGCAGTACGCAGTATGCATTATGCAGTATGCAGTATGCAGTATGCAGTATGCAGTATATGCAGTATGCAGTATGCAGTATGCAGTATGCAGTATGCAGTATACTGTATGCAGTATGCTGTATGCAGTATGCAGTATGCAGTATGACGCGTACACTTTTAAATGTTATAACATTTTTGATTTATATTAAGAATTTGTATTTGATTTAAATTGTTTGGTCGAGTGGAAAGTGTATTTGAAGAGTATTGGCGCCTAGAAAGTTTATCCATTCAATCTGTTCCAAGAACTAACCCTGTATATAATAGAAACATTCCTTCAAAAACAACAAAATAATCAGGACAATAGAAATATTTTAAAACATGAAATTCTAGACGCGCAACACCGTTCAAAGTCAAGGATTCTCAAATTAAGACTTTTGAGCAGTCATTTTTGAAAATGATCAGACCTACAGCCTTTTTTAAGGTAACCCAAAGACATTTAAATCAAACTATTTTCGAAAAATTAAACTTTTTTTGAGATACATCTGACTAGCTTGAGAACCCAGCGTTTGCTTACCTATTTTAACCAATAAAAGTCGACCCACTCAACTTAAAATCTCAAAATCAGGCTTAGAACATTTCCGTGGTTCTCCCAAGTTCCCCAATCAAAATTTGAGGCAAATCGGTCCAGGGGTTCCTAAGTTATGATAGGACTAACAAACAAACACCTAAACAGGCAGACAAACTTGATCGAACGGTTTTCAAATAGCCAAACTATGTTCGAATGTTCAAAGCCTTGTTTGAAAGATCAGACAAGATCTTCGAAAGAATAAATAAGTATTCACACTTTATAAAAATATCTTCAAAAGGTCAAGTGTCTCTGATATATCAAACTGTCATGAAAAATTAAAACTTTTTTGAGATATCAAACTGTGAAAAAATAACAAACTTGTTTCTGAAATATTAAATTGTCGTCGACAAGTAAACCAGTTTTTGAAATATCAAAATGTCTTTGAAACATAAAAATGCTTTTGAAGCAGCAAACTGTCAAATTTTGAAAGATCAAACTCTCGTAGTTATTTCGAAAAGTTACCAGCGAGTTACAGTACTTGAAATGCTTTATATTACTGACAAGTAATTGAAATCTAAATTTGTTTTGCCCTTTTTTCCTGCAATTATTTTATTCATTATTTTTCCATCTCTTCTCATCTGTTTTTATTTGATATTTTAAGAGGAATCCACATGAAATACCAGGTTCTTTAAATTCAATCCTTTAATGCAAAAACTTTAAGTTTAGGAATTTTTTTGAATTATTAATGAAATTTGTCCGTCTGCTAGGCGCCAACCTTTAACAATCTATCTATCTATCCAGGTATAAGTCCGTCTATCTATCTATCTATCTGTGCTAGGGGGAAATTTTATGAGAGATAGCTTGTTAATACACTTTGAGAAAAATTTCAGAATTTAAAATAAAGTTTTCTGTTTAGTAATAGTAAACTTTATACATCATCAAAGTTAAACTAATGATAAACACTAAAAAGTAAATATTAAAAAAGTAATATCACGAAATCTAAGTATTCACAATTCACAACCCAACCTCACAATTCACAATCCAACCTCACAATTCACAATCCAACCTCACAATTCACAATCCAACCTCGCAATTAACCTTACAATTCACAAACCAACCTCACAATTCACAATCACCTCACAATTCACAATCCAACCTCACAATTCGCAATCCAATCTCAAAATTCACAATCACCTCACAATTCACAACCCAACCTCACAATTCACAATCCAACCTCACAATTCACAAACCAACCTCACAATTCACAATCCAACCTCATAATTCACAATCCAACCTCACAATTCACAATCCAACCTCATAATTCACAATCCAACCTCACAATTCACAAACCAAACTCAAAATTCACAATCACGTCACAATTCACAATCCAAACTCACAGTTTACAATCCAACCTCATAATTCACAATCCAACCTCACAATTAACCTTACAATTCACAAACCAACCTCACAATTCACAACCCAACCTCACAATTCACAATCACCTCACAATTCACAATCCAAACTCAAAATTCACAATCCAACCTCACAATTCACAACCCAACCTCACAATTCACAATCACCTCACAATTCACAACCCAACCTCACAATTCACAACCCAACCTCACAATTCACAATCACCTCACACACTAATCACATAAACTAACCTCACAAACTAACCTCACAAACTAACCTCACAAACTAATCTCACAAACTAACCTCACAAACTAAACTAACAAACTAACCTCACAAACTAACCTCACAAACAAACCTCACAAACTAACTTCACAAACTAACCTTACAAACTAATCTGACAAACTAACCTCACAAACTAACCTCACAAACTAATCTCACAAACTAACCTCACAAACTAACCTCACAAACTAAACTCACAAACTAACCTCACAAACTAACCTCACAAACTAACCTCACAAACTACCATGACAAACAAACCTTACAAACTAACTTCACAAACTAACCTTAAAAATTAATTTCACAAACTAACCTCACAAACTAACTTCACAAACTACCCTTACAAACTAACCTTACAAACTAACTTCACAAACAAACCTTACAAACTAAATTCACAAACTAACCTAACAAACTACCCTGACGAACAAACCTTACAAACTAACTTCTCAAACTAACCTTACACTAACCTCACAAACTAACCTCACAAACTAATCTCACAAACTAATCTCACAAACTAACCTCACAAACTAACCTCACAAACTAACCTCACAAACTAACTTCACAAACTACCCTTACAAACTAATCTTACAAACTAACCTTACAAACTAACTTCACAAACTACCCTTACAAACTAATATCACAAACTAATCTCACAAACTAATCTCACAAACTACCCTTACAAACTAATCTTACAAACTAATCTCACAAACTAACCTTACAAACTAATCTCACAAACTAATCTCACAAACTAACCTTACAAACTAATTTCAAAGGCAAACCTCAAAAAACAACTGTAAGAACTAATCTTATAAACAAATCTCAAAAACTAACCTTCTAAACTAACCTTGTAAATTAATATGATTAGCTAGCTAACTTTACAAACTAACCCAGCAAACAAACTAAATTAACTTATTCGTAAATTTAAACGATATAAACGAGGTTGCGTGATTTTCCTCCAACTGAGAGGTTTCGTGAATAAAGATTATTAAAAATCTGTTTTATATTTCAATATATATATAACGATAGTTTTCTAAGCTTCTGATGTATCTGCTCTTGCACCAAGATAGGTTTTCTCTCCCCCAAGCTTTGTCTAAAAAGTAATTTTCAAAATTTATGACATACCTTTTCAGTTTTGGTATTTTCATTTAAACGATTAAAATCTTAAATCCCCATTTTTTAAAATAAAATCCGCAAATCATTTTTATTTTTTATTTTAAATATGCAATGTATGCAAAGAGAACATGTTCACAATTGAAATAGAAGATGGGCGCAAAGCTCCCTGAAAGCTTAGTTTGAAATTTCAAATTTTTGAACAATTTAAGATCGTCAGTAAAGTCATATTCTTTCTGGGTAAGCATGTAGTTTAGAAAATGTTTATGGTTTAGAAAATATAAAATTGGTAGTTGAAAATAAGAAAATTTGACAAACTTTTCATACTAATTGAAACATATAAGATATAGGTTCTTTGTAAAGTTGTTAATATCCATTACTTAAAAAAATATTAAATATCATCTCCGATGCAATTTAAATTTAGCATGAAATTTCATTCTACTACAGGGTGTCCCAAGAAACATGACAGTGGTAAATACTTCAAAATGTCTTTTTCGTGGGACACCCTGTATCTTATTATTATATGCAAATCTGGAGTCTTTTTGCTAATGTATTTAATAAAAATAATATTAAGAGACGAACGTTAACATTTTTTTGAAATTACATTTTGACAGTTTTTAAGTGAAACTATAAATTCAAGAAATAAGAAAATGTAAAATATATAAATGTATTATATTTCATGAGTTTCCCAAAAAAAGGTTAAAAAGGTCGTCTTGAAAATCATTGTCAAAACTACAGGGTGTCCCACGAAAATCACAGATGGTGATAAGTTTAAAATGTCTTCTTTCATAATACGTTATTTTTTACCAAAGAAAAGGTAAATGTATTTGTGTAAAAGATTTCTTAAAACTAAATAAACTGGAAAAAGTCTTTTACATCTAATAAAGTATATATAAGAAGACATTCAAAACTATTCACCAACTATTATGTTTAATTGGACACCCTGTATTTCTAATCCTAATACAATGATAACTGTAAAACGTATTATAAACCGCTAACAAAAATTTTTCACCGTTAACCGCTGTGCCGATATGGACTTTTAAAACCATTAATAACATTTTTTTGGCGCTTCATCCCGTAAACGCCGATAATTTTGTAATAACGATATCATTAACGGCTAGAGCCGTTAATGATTGTTGAACATTTTCCGTTAATGCTGTTAATAAAATTGAGATCTTTAACTAACGGTAATTTAAAAAAAGGAAAATGTCGTAAACGGCACAAACCTTCAGTTAACGGCTAACTGAATTTTTTTAATTTTTTAACAGTTGGAACTAACTGTTGAAGAAACGGCTAGAAAAAGTTGGAATGCCCAAAAAATGCCCAGCCCTACTTGATGAGTACCTGGAAAATGATAACATCCTGCGCATCATTTAAAGAACAAGTGAGGTATACTTCTGTTCCATACACGTTAGGAACAAGATTATCACACCAAGCAATGCTAGATTATAATATGGTTAAGGATTATGCTTCAGTTGGGTCGTTTTTCTGAAGTTGTTGTCTATAATTTCTGTTAGGGTCAAATTGTGACATAGGTAAAGAAAAGACAATATTTGTTTATCTAGAAATTATATATGCACAAAAAAAAGAACCAAAATAATCCAAAAAACGAAAGAAAAATATTATTCAAAATAATAATTATTATTAAATTATCGCTCTACAATTGTTTTCTGTCTTCTACGAAAAATAGAAATAATAAATCTTTTGATTTACCGTAAATATATGATTGAATACATTTTCAAGAATGATTAAAATAGTAATAGGATGAAGTCTTTAAGTTGTTTAAATGATATGCTTAGGTAAGAATTTTGACCGAAAACCCGCTATTTTATTGAAAACTCTTAAAATAGGATTTTTCAACTTGCTTCTTAGACTAAATCAAGGTTTTGGCGTGCTGTCGACTCCCATAAATATTTTCTATATGGCTGTTGGAATCTATTTATATCTTTAGATTATCCCAAAACCCCTGTGCTTACTTGTAATTTTGTTATAAATTATATGTTTTTATTCCAAAATAGTTCTCTGCAACAAAGACGCCATCTAAATATATTGCGGGTTTACAGGATCCATTCAAGGATAAATTTATGAATGGGAAGAGTAATTACAAATTGAAATCATTACTATTCAATGCAATTGCTACAATTAATACATTGTTTGTAAATGAAAAGATTATCAGAATATATTCATTTTATCCATTCTCACCTCGAAACACAAGACAAATGCATTATAATTAGGGAGTTTTTGTTTTAGAGATTTTAAACAAAAACATAAATTAATAAATGTGTTTATTCTTCGTTTTTTTTTTACCTTTTCCAGTCTTGCCAAGAGATATCATAATCTTTCACCAATTCCAAATCCTTAAAAATTGTTTTCATTTGAAGGGAGTGTTCGTCAAAAATGAATAAAGGGGGCATATATTGATTGTTACTATCGAATTCAATTCGATATCAGTCCATACCCACTTTTATTTCTTAAAGAATGCTTAGATAAATTAAAATGAACTTTTTAAACAACCTTTTACAGGAGAAGGGGGGGGGGATTCTATTGCCCAAAAAAACGCTGAAACTTCTTGACTTTTAATCAAAATTTGATCAAACTCAGACTACCAAATAATTTATTCCCAGAAGAACTTAGTGTAAAAAAATTTGTAAATTTTGTTTTAAAAATCAATGGCGACTGCGAATGCTTTGAAAACACAATCAAGCTAGACTGAAAGACACAAAAAAATTAATGAAGTTAAATTGTTTAAAATATAGTTTTGAATCGTTGATGTCTCTTTTTTATTGTAGAATTTCTGGATTTCTCTTTTTCTCTGGAAATTCTTGAGATTATCCCCAAATAATTTCAGTAGTGACCTGGTTCAGAGAATTTTTCACAACCAATTTCAATTAGAATTTGGGTAATTTATTTTAGAGATCCTTGGGATTTTTTTGCGAAATTTTCCCAAAACTGGGTAAAATGTTTTGAATTACCTCCGAAAGATATCCTATTTTATGTTCTCCATTGAGCCAATGAAATACAAAGTATCCATCATCACCCAGAGAATTATTAGTGTTTCACAATTTAACATTTTTTCAAATTCACAATTTTTGAAAAATAAACTTTTTATTTAGTAGTATTTTTTTTAAATTTGTACAGATTTTTATTTTTGCTTACGTTATATCAAGTGATTTTTAACAATATGGACTTTAATATAATGTAAATGTTTTGGTTTTTAAAAATTATAAATCTTTTTTTACTTTATATCAAGTGATTTTAGCTCCTTCCCGTCTGCGGAGATTGTCATCATTCGTTCAGTACTAAACAATATCATTTGTTCAATACTAAACAATATCATTCGTTCAGTACTAAACAATATCATTTTTACAAAATAATGTGTTTTTTATCAAATAATTGAAAATATATGATGAAAATTTAAGACTAAGAAAAAATGAACAATTTGATATAAATATAAAATCTGGATATGCAATGACAATTTATTATAGATATAATCATATAATGCATTATATGTTTTGAATGTTCCCCCCCCCTCCATTCCCTTAACCCTCCCCAACAAAAAAAGACAATATTTTCTTTCTTGTTTCATTTTTTTCCCCATTTCATTCAAATGTCCAATTTTTTAAAAATTCTAAATTAGATTAGGTTTTTAAAAAAAAAATATGATCAAAAAAAGAAACTTCCGATCTTAATTAAATTATCTCAGTCTTTTACAATTTTGAGAATATTCTGTTTTCTTTTATTTGTTTACCTAAGAGTTATTACAAGGACATCCTGCCGGGGATCATAGATCACTTCAGTAACCTAGATCAAATCCTTTTTAGATAAAAAATCCTCGAAACATAGTTTACAGAATTAAGGCCAATTGCTTGATATTACAAAATCGAAAAATCGCGTGAATAGCAACAAAAGTTGGATGGTTGCCAAATAAGCGAAAGAAACTGCCTATGTTTAACAAAAAAATCACTTATTTGGACGCAAGTTATACAACTTTTGCTGCCAATTAAGAGATTTTTTGTTAACTATAAGCGATTTTTATTTTGAAATACAACAAAGGTTGTCTAAACTTTTGTTGTTCTCCAAAATAAAGATAGTTTTCATTCTTCTACTTTAACTGGCTTCTCGTCTAATTAATTCATAGATTAGACGGGCTTCCCGTCTAATTAATTCATAAATTAGATGGGCTTCCCGTCTAATTAATTCATAAATTAGATGGGCTTCCTGTCTAATTTATTCATAAATTAGACGGGCATCCCGTCTTATTAATTCATAAATTAGATGGGCTTCCCGTCTAATTAATTCATAAATTAGACGGGCTTCCCGTCTAATTAATTCATAAATTAGACGGACTTCCCGTCTAATTATTTCATAAATTAGATGGGCTTCCCGTCTAATTAATTCTTAAATTAGACGGGCTTCCCGTCTAATTAATTCTTAAATTAGACGTGCTTCCCGTCTAATTAATTGATAAATTAAACGGGCTTCCCGTCTAATTATTTCATGAATTAGACGGGTTCCTTAGCAAAAATAATAATAAATCATAATATGTAAAGTTTGCTAATAGTTCAATAAATATTTATCTTTTCAACAAAATCCACTCATCAATCTTTCCATATAACTAATATACTATGCATGAAACAGAAAATACTTTGCAAAATTTTCAGAATATGTATTTTATTTCCAACTCAATGTTACATGAACATAAAAAGTTATATCTCACATTCTGTTCAAAATATCAAACAAAATAGCTAATAACATGAAGTGGTTTAACATGTTTTGTGGAGTTGAACTACTTCTTAATATTCATTAAATTAGGTCTCATTATATCAGAAATATCAGTATCTAATACTAATATTTTTAGCGCATTGAAACTATGGTATATGTCACAGCACCAATACTATTGAGTTAAAAACATTTTTTTTATGTTTAAATTACATCTCGCTTGCTAAGTGATACATTTTGGCCGGCTGTAGGTAGAGGGTGTTAATCGTTTTAAAAAACAAGCAACAATTTTCGTTTTTCGTATCGCTTTTTATTTAAAAAAAACTAACAACCCTTCGTTTTATGAAAAATGAAGGTTTAAAACTAATCAAACGACAAAACTTCGTTAACGAATTGAATCTTTTTCAAAACCAATCGTATCTTTTTTTTGCTTTTTACTAAGTAGTGCACTCACTCACTCACTCACTTACCGACTCTCTAACTCACTCACTCACTCACTCACCCTCTCACTCAATCACTCACTCACACTATCCCTCAATCCCTCACCCACATAACTACACTTATATTTATAAACTAGCTTGGGAACCCAACTTTGCCCGAAAACTTTCTGTTCTAGTAAACTGAGTACTTTAAACATTCCATGGTACTACCGAATTCCTAATTAAGGGGTTCCCGAGTTATGATCAGACATACAAACAAAGAAACAGAGATTACTACTTTATCTTTATAGATATTCTGATGCTCTGCTAGTAAATACTGCACCTGATCTTGAAAATCTGCCTTGGTCCACAGTATTTCTCCTTTCTTGCTGTATTTACGAATGAATCCTCTGAAAAAATGTCACAAATTCAGATTTGTTAAACCTTAACAATCTGATTAATTGTAGGCCGTTAGTTTGCTAACTTTGAATTCTGTTAGATCTATGTGTTAGAAATATAACTAGAAATATAGGGGTTAAAAATTACAGTTTGTGTCAGTTCCTCTCTTTATCTATGATTGAAGACATTGCAGGAGTATATTATATTATTATATTATATATATTATCAAATTATAGTATATTATATTGCAGCCTGCAGGACTATATTATTTAAAATGTGATGGGCCTTGGTTCTTTTTTAAGTTTTTGGAATTTGAAAAGATTTAACAAAAATCTGAGATATTTTTCATCTTTCAAACATTGTTTCTTTAAACATTTGCTTTCCTTGAAATAGGCTAAATTTTGACCCTGAATTCAAAAACGATTGTTTTAAACCAAGTTTATTTTTATATCTATTTTCTCTTAGAATAGAAAATTTGTGGTTTCTTTTAAAAGTCTAAAAAACTTAAAAGTTCTCAAAAAACGAACCAACCAGTAATCAGAAGTTTAAAATAAGGATAAAACGTAAATTGATATTAAGCCATAAACAAATTTATCTTCCCTGTTAACAATCTTGGCATAATTATTAGACATGACAGTTGGTGAATAGTAAAATGTCTTCTTCCATAATTTGATAAGTTGTTTGAGAATAATAACATTTTTTATATGACAGTTATTTTATAGTAAAATTGATTTCATAGTTAAATATATATAATATTTCTTAATATTTCTTAAAGAAATGAACTGCAAAAAGTCTTTAATATCTAACACAGTATGTGAAAGACGACATTCAACACTATTCAGCAACTGGCATGTTTCGTGGAACGCTCTGTATTTACACATCAAGTTTAAATTTAAAACGTTCATGAAATGTGAGATTAAGTTTTTGTTTTTGTCGACATTAAATATTTTTGAAAAATTTCATAAATTTTACCTTTTGCTGGCCATGAACCCAGTTATATAGATGTTATCATTGCAATCAACCTAGTTTAAAGGAGGGTGCATAAAATTAGAAAGAAGGCATAAGAAAAAAAAACATAATGTATGAGCCAAGGTTATAATGCAAGGAAAGTTATTTCAGAGGTGTACGCATCTTTTGTACTGCAGTGTACTGTCTCGGGGCGGTAATGTAAACACAAGACGGATGTCGAAGACTGACATAGGATCCATAAAAATTATTGGAAATGGTCATAGGAAATTATTTTGTGAATTATCAAAATTATCAAAATTTATTGCTTTTAACCTCCTTGGATACTAGAAGAACACTGATGCATCTATTCTTGTTACAAGTTCTGCCCAGAGAGAACTGGTTTCAATATGTACGCAGAGTATACGCAACTAAAATTAACACTCCTTGCATTATAACCTTGGTATGAACATTGATGGTATGAGCTTGTGACAATTTTTAGTGCATAAAAACTGTTTGAATATCAAGTTTGATCTACAGGGTTACCCAGAAAGGATGAGAATTCAGAGATATACATCTATGGTATACCTTTAAGCTCTGAGTTTGTTTATTTCTTTGTCAACATTAATATTTACAAAACATACTGTATTCTAAGCCTGATATAAGCGCTAGAAGTTTTAAGTTCAAACTTCATAACCGTATAACAGAAAAGTTAGCGTTGCAAAAGAAAATTCTAATATTGATTTGTAATGTCGTCTTTGTCTGTACCTTAACCCCTGTTGGCATACAGGATGTTTCGCCTTCTATGGCCGTGATCTCATCCTGAACAAAAAAGAATTTAACATTTTATGTGTTATTAAACAACATGAATATTATATGTTAGGCACTTTCTGAGGGCTTTTCCCACGCGCCAACTTCCCATGGGTATTTTAATTTACTTTGCTGTTAGGTCGATTACGAGGGCCGAGCGCTGCGGCTAGAATGGCCTAAAGAGCCGAGCGCTGTGGCTAGAAAAGGTTAGGGCGCCGAGTTCCACAGCCAGGATAGACTTGGGAAGTTGCCGCTTGGGAAATTGAACAGTTGGGAAGTTGCCACTTGGGAATATACCCTTGGGAACTTGCCGCCTAAACTTTGAAAACTTGCCGCACTTGTAAAATTGCACATTTGAGAAGTTGTCACTTGGGAAGTTATTTGGAAAAATGCCTTTGGTAAATACATAACACTGAATATATTACCATTAAATATCAGTTAAATCGCAGCAACTGTGTTTTAACATTTTGTTGAATGTTATGTGCAATCATTATAATAAATTGCAGTTATTTATTCCGATATCTGCTTTGTTATTTTTGTTGTTAATAAAATAATAAGCGTCAAAACGGGTTGACCACTTTGACTCCCACGATTCTATGGGGATTTTTTTTGACCTGTTACACTTAAAGAAACATTGGAGAAATTCACAGAAACAAACACTTTGTTTTCGAATCAGAAAAACGATGTGATATTCCACAATTTGGATCGGATTAAGTTTCAAGGATATTGGTAAATCTTAAACTTCTTGTACAGCCTGACCCTTTGAATAATGTTTTATCAAATGCACTTTAGTATTAAAGTATAAAAGATGTGTTGAGCTCTAAGGGTTATAACGAATTTATTTTCATTTTATAAGTTTAGAAACTAATTTTTATTAAAAAGTATAATAAAGATGATTTTTGATCTTGTTTTGACTGTATACCTGCCAGTCCACACTGTTCATGTTGTTTCCCTTTAGTTTCACTAGATGGCAGGGATTAGGACCAGATCCGACATCATTCTACAAATCATAGGGAAATTAAACAATGCAATTTTAACTAGCAAAGAGCAAGATTTATAAAGGCAAGGTAAGGTAAAAGAATAATTTGTACTCAGAACACCAAATTGCGTAATATACAATGGACTAATTGTCGGTTGCTGTACAACTGTATTTTGGTTCTTGTAAACCAGAGATAAGAGAGTTCCAGAGATTGCTTATCAGCTAAAATATGCAATATTTTCCACAGCATGTTCTATTGTGCACAAGTACTTACACGACCAATCAGCAAACATCTGTATTTTGGGATATTTAAGGATCCTTTGGATATGAAACACAAAATCTTCAAAAAAGACTGAATTCATAAATGTTATGTTTCGTGTTTAAAAAATTGGAGTATTTTAATTAAAGTCGTAAAACTTAACCCCTGAATGGGTGTTATGTTCAACAAGTGGCCGTGAGATGGCAAAAACGTAGCATGTCTTGCCAGGTCAACTTAGGCCTTCGTAGCCCACCCTGTGAAAGGAGATAAGCAGTCTGTGTAGTCTGTGTCATAAACAAACTCATCCATAACTGAAACATGAAATCGAACCTAGTATTCAAACCGTAGTCGCAGTCCAGAATTATAAAGTTACACATAAAAAGATAAAATGGAACTAGGAAAATTAATTCATTATTCTTAAATATTTATTTAAAACACCTGTCCCCTCTCATGTCGAAAGTGTAAATTATTGCTACGACATAAGCCTAATTAAATGGAATGTAAACAGACCTTTAAACCAGTTTTAAACCACCAAAACCGAGTTCATAGTGTATTTCAGAATATAGTTGTGTTCCGTAAATAAACTTTCTTTAATGGATTAAATCGGGTTTTTATATATTCTACGAATAAATTACAATTAAATCCTAAATGCGCCATCGAAAGAATTTATCAAATGTCGTCTTGACAATTGTTCAATAGGTTCAAACTATTTTACGTAAATCTCAGTATTTGCAAAAATAAATATATAACCATATGGAATATGCGGGAACAGCGCCGCGGCTAGGAAAGGCTAGGGGGCCGGGCGCTGCGGCCACAAGTCCTTCTAGCAGCTGTAAAACCACATGCTAGTAGGTCGGATGTGAAGTATAGCGGATTTGGCGTAGGTAAGAAGTGAAGTATAGCGGATTTGCGTAGATCGAAAGATACACTATCGTTTACATATAAATCAAATCTGTAACTAAAGCTAACCTGTCCCCCATTGGAAAAACTATGAAAAGCAACAATGTCGTCTTTGCTATCTATTCCAAGATATGCTTCTCTGCTTGCGAAAGTGCCTGAAATAAAGAACTGTTTACAAGATATAAACAGAGATGAGATTTTAAAAGCTTAACCCGAGTAAAACCCAAACTCGGGCTTAGATAGAACCTAAGTCAGGATTGGTTCTGATTCGACCAATGAGAGACTGTTTTGCAAGCTTTCTCTCTGTAGCAGACATAATGCCGTCAGATCAGCTGTGACAAGGAGATGTAAATTTTGAAAGTTCAAACTTTAAGTAGATACATTATTTTCATAGTATGTTTATTTTACATAATTAATAAAATTTGACAGGCTGGGTCTTGACTTGAGCTTGACTTGGGTCTAAGCAGACAAAAAGACCAGGTTTTACTCAGGTTTAAGCTTTTAAAATCTCATCTCAGAAATTAATTGTACGCGTTTTGTAGATATTAAATAGTTGTGTACAGTTGAACCAAGAACTGTGGACTAGGAAGACGACTTTTAGACTCAAGAAATTATTTAAACAGTTCAATGAACATTTAAATAAAACGCAGAATTGAGTAGTTTACGCACAATGTTTTCATTTAAAGATTGATTTTTTTTAAATATTTTAATAACCACATCAAATTTAACTTATTTGTATTCTCACTGTAAACAATGTGTTGAATGCTGTTCGATCAAAGACGACTTTTTAAAACCGTCTTTATTCATTTACCTGGTTTAACATCAGATCCTGAATCTAGTTCTCCACACTGATCATATCTCTGTACTCTCATAACCTGTACATTGATCATATGTATTTCTACTTAGTGAGAAATATACATATAATAACATACCTGCAGGGGGCACAGACACACAGATACATCATCATCATCAACGTTAATATTTTTTTAGGGCTTGGCACTCGTGTCCTCAAAACTTTTGTCTTAATGTTAAACCTTAAATGAGCTATACATCGAAAGAATTTATCAAATGTCGTCTTGATAATTTATCAATGGGTTTAATACTATTTTACGTAAATTTCTGTATTTGCGAAAATAAATAAATATGCAGGAACAGTTTTAAAGAGCTCCATTTAATCATTTCATTAAAAAAACTAAAATATCTGCAACATTCCACTATCAAAAAGTGAAGAATACGACATTTGATAAGTTCTTTCGATGATTGGCTCATTTAGGGTCTAACTGTAGGAAAACTGATTAAGTTATTTTTGGTTTACTGCATCTCATGACATTGGAAGAACTTTTAAAAGGTCGTTTAGAAATATTTTTACTGTGTTTTGCCGCTGATAATTATATAATATTAGCTGAAAGGCCCGGCATTGCCCGTTGAAAAAAGAAAATTTTTGAAAAAAATTTTTGTAAAAAAACATTTTCGATTTTTTTCAGCCTACAACACCCCCCAGCCACCCATGAGTGTCCACAAAATAAATCAGCCCAATTGGTCAAGCCGTTTGGCCGGCTAAACGCAACATATATATGAGTGTCTTGTTTTATTGTATAGATGAAGGATATTACACGTAAATTAGCGCCTAACTATATCCTTGTAAAACTGCAAGCGGAAAGCTTTGACAGTTTGAAAAAATACAAGCAAGCTTCAAATTCAAATTCAAGACGACATTATATAAATTCTTTAAATTCTTCCAATGTCTTCTTAAATATCAGTTTAACCGTATACAAAATTAATAATTTTTAAATTCTGGGCTGTCCTTAAAAATAATTTATAGAAGAAAACATGTTAAATATTAACTGAAATGAAAAGATTGATTTTAAATAAGCTTTTTTGGCCCACTTTTTAATAAAGCTTATGGTGAAGATTCCGTGATTTAAAAAGTAGGCAGACGCTGAACTCCAACCTTCGTGTGTGCGAGGTGGGGAAGGCTTCACTGCCACACTTAATTAAAAGCATGATTAAGGGGGGATGACATTTGTAGATCAAGATTGAATCCTAGCCGCAGCCCTCGGCCCAGAAAGTGTCATAACTTAACCTAACCCGTGGCAGCAGCGCTCGGCCCCCTAGCCTGTCCTAGCCGCAGCGCTCGGCCCAGAAAGTGTCTTAACATAACCTAACCCTAAATAAATACTAACTTAATTGAAAATTGTTGAAAAAGTGGCCATGTACAACAGTAAAATCTGCAGTGAAGTCTTCCCCACCTCTCACACTCGAAGGTTGGAGTTCAGCCTAAAAGGTGGAAACTATCAAAGTTCAGGCGTGGAAAAGTTGTTACAAATTTTGATGATGACGCTTTGGACCTGAATACCGTCTTCCCTCTCATAAGTGATCATAGCGAAGATGTATCCTAGAAGTTTTGAAATTGAATCAAACTTAAAAAACTCAGGTTTTCGGAAAGAGGTGATACAATGTACTGTTCACAAGGAATGAGACTTAAATATTTTGCAAATAAAAATTCTTAGTTTGAAATATATCAAAGGTCTGCAACATTTTGTTGCAAAGATTTAAGAACTAGAAAATTTGAATTTGTGGCTAAATCTCAATTCCTTTGAAGATGAAAAAAAAACTGAATTTAATTAATTTATAAAAATAACTTTCCACGGGAGTCCAGAGCTGTATCTTTTATCATTGGATTGAGACCTCCTTCTACATCTATCATCTTCAAATCCATAAAATAGAATTTGTCAGATTTTACAAATTAAAAATTTTAAAAATTGTAATTGTAAATTCAAGTAAAGATGGAAATGCCCGTTAAAAATTGGTTCCCTTAAAAACCTTTATCTGATCAATATTCAAAGATTTTTAAAAGTTTTAATTCTGTTAATGTCTATTTTTTTTTTACAGTAGATATGTGCAAGTCACTTTAAAAGAGAAACCACCATTAAAAATAATCAGTTTTCAAATTGATATACGTTGATATCTTATTCATACTTGATCAGACAAAGGGTACCGTTGTGAATCAGACAAGACCATTTCTACATGGAGGGTCGATTAAAAATATTCATTTCAGTGTAAATTTAGAAACAATTATCACAACTTTTTGAAAATGACTTGTGAAATCATGTTATGTACATTAAAAATCAGATACAATATTTTTTGCTTGGGACTTTTTTATCATCTATTAATAAGGGAAATCCGACATTTTGGTAAGCTTTATTTTTAATTTGTACATACATTTTTCATTAAATGAATTATTAAAGATAAAATCCCTTTTTTATGGTATTTTTCTAACGTCATGTACAGTGGTTTTCAAAAAAAGTTTGAATAATATGTATTATATGCACCCGAACTACGGAGAACCCGAAACCATTTTAAAAATGTTGTTTTCTAAACCTACTGATAAAGGAATACTGCAGATATATATATATTTTTTTAAAATTAAATCGGACCTCTTTAAAACTGTCTCCGCATATTTCATGGCTATTTATGTACTTTTACAATTATTGATATTTAGGTGTAATTGTATAAAACCAATTGAAAATATGTCAAGACTACATTTTATAAATTCTTTTAATGACTTCGAAGTTCTGGGTTTAACTGTATCATTTTTTTAATTATTGGTGTCAAAGGTTGTAGATTAAAAAATAAATATTTGATCTGGGTTAAAAATTCAAACCTTCAAATTGTGGCAAGAAAAGATTATTCGTAAATATAATCTAAAAATCTATTCCTTAGCCCATGCTTGTCTAAAGCCAGGGGTGAATTTGAGAAGGAATCCTTGCAGGTTATGTTTCCTTTCTAAACCCATGAACGGTATAGATAAATCCTCCCTAAAAAATACTAATAAATTATGATTAGCAGAGACCGAATTTAATGAATTTGAGCTACGTCGATGAACTTTCTACAGCCATTTCAAAATGGAACCACCGATTCAAAGTTAAATATTCAGGAAGGATTTTTAATCGTTGATTCAAAGAAATGGAGTCTTTGTTGCAAAATCAATAATATTCTAATCCTTTGCTGCAGTCTCTGATATATCATAGAATTTATAGTTTAAAATATCTACTACATAGGGTTGCAAAGACATAGGGATAAGAAAATTAGAGTTTGTGGAAAAATCTCAATTACTTTGAACGGGCATTTTATGCTGGGTATACATACAGTGAACCCCTTAATAATGAATACATCGGAAGAAAAATCAAATGTCGTCTTGACAATTTTTCAATAAGTTTTATATACTATATTACGTAAATTTCAGTATTAGCGAAAATAAATAAATATCCATGAATATGCAGGAACAGTTTTAAAGAGTTCCATATAATCATTTAATTAAAAACAACTAAATATCTGCAACATTCCATTATCAGAAAGTGAAGAATATGACATTTGATGAATTCTTTTGATGTATTCTTTATTAAGTTTCACTGTATTAAAATGTATACAGTGGTAGGTAATTATAGCAATACAATCAAAACGAATTTTGATTTATATCAAGGTGTTAAACAGCATTGATACATATAAACATAGAAGCCAAGAATTAAGATAAGCTGTCAACTAATAAAGCTTTTTTTTTGATTACTTTTGAAAAATCGAAGAAATCTTGTTTACATTATTAACACTTTAATAAAAAAGTCGACTTTGGTGTATTGATATAGTCGCCTACCAATGAGCCCTTTGTGCTTTTTTCAACAGATTTTGAATCTGGAAATAATTTAATTTAAACAGATTACCTTGTAAATGCAAACATACAAATTATGATAAAATTCTATGAACTAAATATCTTACTTATCGTTGAGCAGTTTGACATTAGAAGCAAAGAAATAATGTCCATGGCAGTCTCGTTGTAAACTCTCCCTGCCTCCGTACATATTCATTGTAAACCCTTCCTAGACAAAATATAATTAAACCTAACCCTATAAATCTATAAAGCGCCCCCCCCCCCCCCTCCAATACTTTACCTTTCGTATTGTGCATTTTTCAAAATAGAGAGCTTTGTTATCAAAAATGTTTAAAGGGTATTCAAGTGTGGTTGACCCGGGTTCCCCAGTCAAAATCTCAACGAACAAAACTCGGCTGAAACTCGAATTTATAATCTTTAAGCTAAGAACATTCCTGTCACGCGGATTTAACTGTTCGGTCCTTATGTTGGGATTATAAACCACAATTTTATTTACTTAACATAAACTTTTAGATTTTTCCCTCTAATACTTTTTTGTCGGCTTTCACGTTTTACCTGAAAAACTTTAACAGAGACCACTCCGTTTAAAGTTTAAAGTTTAAAGTTTAAATATTGTTGAATTATAGAACAAAACACGATTAAATACAAAAGGAAGAGGTTCGTTCAGGGTGCCGTGGTTCCCCCGAGTTCCCCAATCAAAATTTGAGGCAAATCGGTCATGGGGTTTCTGAGTTATGATCGGACAACGAAAATTATACTACTTTACATACATATATAAATAGATTATGAACCTGGTGAATGACTGAGGGGAACAGAGCATATTCAGTTTTCTTTAACTTTAGTTTATCCACTCTTCGACCAACCTTAATAATATTTCTAACAAAAAAAATATTATTTATCTTTTTTCGATTCCAAGTTTCTCATTAAACATTTAAAAGAAATGGAGTCTTTGCCACATTCTTAAATGTTCTATTACCTAAATCTTTGCAACTTGATGGTGTAAAACATTGATTAGTTTAGTTGACCAAACAGAATTCATAATATAAAATATCTAAAGTCTACAACATCAGGTTGCAAAAAAAGGGATTAGAAAATTAGAGTTGTTGACAGAGACTCAATTCGATGAATAATTGATAAAACATGTTAAAGGTAAATTTTAGATTAAGTAATTATCCTACAATGAAATTCATTTACGCAATCAAGAATGTAAGGCAAGGAAAGTCAATTGCGGTTGTGTATACTCTGTGTACATATTAAAACCAGTTCTCTCTGGGCGGAATTTGTAAACAATAATAGATGCATCAGTGTTCGTTTAGTATCCGAGGAGGTTAAAAGCATTAAATTTTGATAATTTTGATAATTCACATAATAATTTCCTATGACCAGAATATTTCATTGATTTTTTATGTGAATGATGGATCCCATGTCAGGCTTCGACATCCGTCTTGTGTTTACATTAGCGCCCAGAGACAGTACACTGCAGTACTAAAGATGTGTACACTTCTGAAATGACTTTCCTTGCCTTACATCCTTGGACGCAATAAATATATATTTGAAATACACACTTAATTATGAACCAAAGAAAAGCTTATTTGACAGCAAAAATGTTTTAATTTTTTATTTAAAAGTGAATGTCTGATGAATAGTTGATAATTAATACCTTGCACTGAAATCCATTCACGCTGGCACAATTAAAGGTTTGACAAAGCAGTTCACTTTCCTCTGTAACTGGCTCAGGGGCCTAATAATAATTGTTAATCAGTGGATAGAATTATTATAATTGTTAATCAGTGGATAGAATTATAATAATTGTTAATCAGTGGATAGAATTATAATAATTGTTAATCAGTGGATAGAATTATTATAATTGTTAATCAGTGGATAGAATTACTAAATAGCAAGTCATGGTCCAGTTGTACTCTTATATTAGGTTTTTCTGATCTATATCCTTGTTAATTTAAACTGTTTATTTTCATTTCCGGTTTCTCCACGAAAGTGACTTCCGCATTTCTTGCTTATGAGAAGCAACGGGAAATTATGATAATTAAATACTTTTCGAGTCAGAAAAACGAAAGTTTCTTCCACATTTTTTATCAGATCGAAGTCACAAAGATACCTTTGTAAACCAGGCATTGCCATCTTTGCATAGAGGGTCACTCGTAATCAGGCTTGCAGTCCCTTTGAGGATTTGATTTTTAACAAGCTTTTTTAAATTACAAGTTTCTAGTAAACATTAAAACAATATGTTAATGGACCGCTTTGTTTCCATTATTAAGTGTCTATAAACTAATTGAAAGCTTGATAGAAATAAAAACTTTCTTTAATTCTCAAAATTCATTGAATTCAAACTTGGATAAAAATTATTTTTAAAGTAGTCTGAGAAATAATACTTAAGGTAACGCTCTAAATAATCGTTTAGGGGTGACTTTTTTTAGTGAAATAAAATTTCTCTTATTATTATCAAATTAATATACAGGATCTACCACAAAGGATGAGATTTGAGAGATGATTGTACGAAATGGATACTGACAATTTCCTTAAATACAGTTCCTTGCAACGTATACTTTTATGTTTCCTTGTCAAATCATAAAAAGCTGCATTAGATTACAATATCTGAGGCTGCAGAATGATGGTGTATTTCTGGACATACGTTGATCCGTCCTACTGCCCATCCGACCTACTAGCACATGGTTTTAAAGCTGCTAGATGGACTTCTGCCCGCAGCGCCCGGCCCCGTAGCCTGTCCTAGCCGCAGCGCTCGGCCCACAAATTCTCTTAACCTAACCTAACCCTCAAATAACACAAAAATAACAGCTGTCGTAGGTCGGAAGTTGCAGTAGGTCATATATGCAGTATAGCGGTTGAGCAATAGGACGGATGGGCGGTAGAGCGGATCAACATTACCCTGCAGAATAGATACATGATAAAAATACTTGGGATCGTCACATTTTTAGTATTTCTGATCATTCATAGGTAACCCTATATTCACAAATGTTACAGCTACAACTTCAAAATTTCATTGAACCGAAAATTTTCCATGTCTCAAATAAGCTGTTAACTGATCCAAATCATTGTATAACTAGGGATGTTTGGATTTTGATTTCGCAAAAACATTACCTACAGTGATAATCTTAGAACTGTATATTAGGAAGACGACATTATAGCTAAAGTGTATTTGATGTGTTTAAAAAGCCAAAAGCCTTACTATTATTGAATCACTTATTAAGTAAAATGGGTCTTCTTACACTGCACATTGTCTTAAGTTCATTAGACGATTTTAAGTCATAACTTGAGTCTAAAAGTCAACTCCCTTTTTCCAGAGGTTTCTTATTACTGTAGCAGAATGTTATTTTATTTAAAACGTTAATAAATGTGAAAATGTATTTTTTGTATATATTTTAAATACAGGGTGTCCCACGAAACATGACAGTTGGTGAATAGTTTTGAATGTCTTCTTCAATATGCTGTATTGAATATAAAAGACTTTTTGCAGTTTATTTAGTTTAAATAAACTTTATTCAAATATATTTTGCTTAGAAATCAATTTTACTGGAGTATGGATGCCATAAAATATTTATTATTATTCTCTTTGACATGTTTCGTGGGACACCCTGTATCTTACCTTCGGCTCTTCCAATAACGCAAACACATCACCTTTAAACAACAAAATAAGAAAATAAATGAAAAATGAAAAAAAAACTTTAAAATGGAGAAGATCAAATTTAGAAAATTTAGAAAAATAAAAAATTTCAAATCCTTCAAACAGCCTTTTATATGATTATCATATTACAGGCATAGTTTTAATTTGTAAAAAACGATTTTACAAGACAGTTTTGAAAAATATTAAAACAGAAACGACATTTTAGAATTTTAGGAAGCCATTTTGAATGTTTAATTCAATGTAATTGTGAATATTACAGGGTTACCCACAAAGGATAATACTTCGTAGACAATTGTACAGAATTTACACAGTCTGTTTCTTTATATACATGACTCCTGTAACTTTAATCTTGTTTCTTTCTGTGCTAAATCATTTAATAAGCTATTAAAATACTATAATAAAGGAAGAAGACCTAATTCGACCTTGGGATCTTTATATTTTAGTAGTTTTAGGTCGTCTTTGCAGTCTCAACCTTTGTGGGTATCCCTGTATTTCAAATTAGTAAATTGTTAAATTGAACGACAGTGTATCAGTGAAATTCAAAAGCAAGAAATTATTTTTTTTTCATTATAAAATTATAAGATTATAAAATTATAAAATTATAGAATTATAAAACTATAAAACTATTAAATTAAAAAATTGTAAAATTATGCTACTTATAAAGTTTGAATTTTTACCCTCACTGGTCTAATAACGTCATTTGCACTTTAGAAATCGCAAATTGTAAATTGCTCGAAACGTTGTATGATACAGGTAAACGCATCATATTCCCTAAGGAGTTGAGTCATTGTCACAAACTCAAATTTTCAAATCACTATATCATTGCAACCCACCTTCGTAGACCTTCGATATTTCATAATTTAAATTCTGTTACAATAAATAATCTAAGTTTTAAATTTCAAAATTTTAAACCTACAGGTTGTGAAGATATAGGAATTTAAAAATTTGAGTTTGTGGCAAAAACTCAATTCCTTTATGTCTTCCCTGTTTCCTTTTTTAATATTACTACCTGAACAGCAAACTAATGTTTTCTCAAGGTTTCCATCGAAAAATGTGGCTCCTGGCTTGTACATTACTCCATCCTATAATACAGGAATAACCAGAAAACTCCGGAATTGGAAGTCCAATGAACATGAGGCACAGCATTAGTGCAACGTAAACAGACCCATTTTACTTTATAAGTGATTTGATATCTTGCTACAGTAAAGCTATTTGTCTTGTAACAAAATGAAATGCACTTCAGTATTGCTTGAATGTCGTCTTCCTATTTTACAGTTTTCTGGATATCACTGTAACATATTAAAAGGAATGTTCTTAAATTTGAAAAGCGATATAAAAGAGAAATATTTACCCTAAGGCAGCAACCAGTCATCTGTTTTCCCTCTGTAAAAACAGGATGCTTAGAAACTATTTCAACTCCAGGACCGTTCATCTAAATACAGCTTTTGTAAACCAACTTGTGACTTGTTCATTACGGTTTTGTAAACCAACTTGTTACTCGTTTATTACGGGTTTGAAAACCAACTGAAGACGAGTATATCTAATGCATTTATCTCTGAGCTTTAACTATTTAAATATTAACCCTATCCCGATTGTGCTATTTATGTCTAAAATTGATTGGATGGGGTGGGGGGTGGGGTGTTGAGATAGGGGAGTGTGATATGTGTACCTAGTTCAACTTTTCAAGGCCTGCTCATTAAAAAATTAGACCTCTAACTTTAATGGTTAGGGTGTAAGGAAGGATTTTTAAAAAGTTCAAAAAGTATGTAGAAGAAACCACAGGGGTGGTAGTAACCCCCAACCCCCCCCCCCCCCATTTGATAGGGTTAAATGAACTATAAAATTCTGGGCAGTTTTATTATTAAGAAAAGAATATATTTAGTTAATTTTGTTTAGTAATAATATTTAGAATTATGTCACCTTTTCCTCGCAGACCAAGATTTCACACCTGAAAGCGTTTGCTGAAATCAAACTGTCCTAAAATTAATAAAACTATGAAAAAACATTTTTCTTATTTTGATATTTTTTACCTTTTTAAACATGAGTTCATTCCATATACAGCAGTTCAACGTTAAATTAACTTTTCCTATAATTAAACACCAAATATAATTTTCTTAATAAAATTACGTAAATTTCTAAATATAAAATATAATATACAGTAATAAATATTGTTACCGAAGGAATCAAAAAATGGTTTAAAGTGATCCTGTTATAATTCAAGTTACATTGCAGTTAACCCTCTATTTTACTACTGAGTTACCCACAAAGGATGAGACTTCAGAGACGACTGCAGGGAATTAATACTGTCTGTTTTCTTAAATTTAAGATTCCCTCCAGCTTTGAACTTTAAAACTCTGTGATGGTGATATGATGCAAGAAACCTCTGTAGGGTAAACTAGTAAATGTTAGTTCCTCATTTTATTCAAAATATATTTCGGTCTGGGTTCACCGTCGTTAGTTCTTGAGATTGATTTTGCCCTTAGAGTTGAGATAGGGGAGATGTCCTTAGTCCAACTTCAACCTTCTCATCAATTTAATGGATAGGGTAAGGAACGGATATCCATATTTTAATATTTAAGTCTTAGCCCTGTAGCTTAATTAAAAAAAGTTATAACCATTTCTGATTTTTTTTAATCACCTACCCGTCGTTTAACCGTCCTCCAACATACCCTATGCATCAAAAAAAAAAAAAAATGAGCAAAATTTGTTTAAACTATTATATTGAAAAAGTGAAGAAGTTTTAGCGTTCTAATGAAAGCCGTTGCTAAGTTATTTTGAATAAATACCTGGGGGGGGGGGTTGGAAAACCCCCCCCCCCCCTCCCCAATCGTAAACTCAGGCACACAGCACACAGCCCCCCTGGATTAAATGTTGAACAAACCTGAATTTTGATCATGAACCATATCAAAACATTCATCTTTATCCTAAACAAACAAAAATACTATCTTTTAGAATTTTTTTCTGATCCTTAATAAACAAATATTATTAATTCTAAAAAAGCAAATCTTTTGTTCCTAAACAAAAATAAACAAAGGTATTTATTTCTCTTTTAACAAAAAAACATAATTTTTTTAATTACTCTTTTTTAATCAAAACAAAATAAAACAATTAAAGGTCATAAAATTTGATCAATCAAGAAAACTAAAATGTAAACTCACCAAAAACCATTTTATTTTTAATAAAGGATGTAAGGATAGGATTTGCAAACAATCGCTTTTTTGCACTTTTTTGTGTAATATCTTCAGCACGAGGGTTGGATACCTGTGTTTCGAAGTTTGGTGAGCATGTATCGAGTGGAGCAGCAACACGATTTCCTAAATTCAATATTTGTTATTTATTTTTATCAATACAATGAACTAAACAAAGAGAAATTATTATTTGACAGCTTCTCTTTGTGTATCCATCCATGGTTATAAAAGCTTGGTAAAAATAACAAATGGAAATTGAAAGTCGTCTTCATTGTATTGGTTTGTAAATGCAATATCTGTAGTAATCTTCTTAATAATTTAAAATAAACCTTAAATTTTAACTTTTAAATACTATTTAATATACGTATTTTAACTCAAGACTTTCAAATTATCAGAAGAAGTTAAGCTTTTTATCAAGTAAAAACATTGCAGAAAAAGAGGAGACAGGGAACAGGGCATTTATGTACAGGGTTAACCACAAAGGATGAAACTGTAAAGACGACCTAAAGTTCTTTGAATTTGACGATTCTAAGGATAAATAAAGTCATCTACCTTTAATATGATATTTCTGGCTTATTTAATTACAGTGAAACCCTTAATAACGAATACATCGGAAGAATTTATCAAATGTCGTATTCTTCACTTTCTGATAATGGAATGTTGCAGATATTTAGTTTTTAATTAAATGATTACATGGAACTCTTTAAAACTGTTCCCGCATATTCAATGCTATTTATTTATTTTCGCAAATACTGAAATTTACGTAATTTAGTATAAAACTCATTGAAAAATTGTCAATACGACATTTGATAAATTCTTCCGATGTATTCGTTATTAAGGGTCTCACTGTATTATATTTTTATTCTATAAATGACTGAACAATCCCTTTATAGCTAAAAACTGCTAAGATCGTCTTTTGTTACCTGGCATTGGCGCAGCATTTCTTTGGTAGGGGATGAGCCATGTATCTAAACTATATTTAAAATTGAAAAATATGATAAGATTTATTAATTTCTACAGAAAATACAGAGATACAGTTAAACGATAAAAGTTTTAGGTTTCATCCCTTCTTTTTTTCTTTTTTTCCCTTGCCATTTGATACTGTGGTAGCATCGTGTCATAGTAAAACAACTCTAACTCAGTTACTCAGTTACTCAGTTACTCAGTTACTCAGTTACTCAGTTACTCAGTTAATTAGTTACTCAGTTACTCAGTTACTTGGTTACTTGGTTACTCAGTTACTCAGTTACTCAGTTACTCAGTTAATTAGTTACTCAGTTACTCAGTTACTCAGTTACTTAGTTATGTTCTTAAAATATAGCAGTTTTTGCAGACCCATTTGACTCAATACATATAAAGTTGATTTTAAAAATTATTTGCTAAAACATGAAATAAACATAAAGTTGTTTAAATGTCGTCTTCCAATTTATTAATTTTATGAGTCAAGGTACTATCTACACCATTATAAAGTCTATTTTTTAAGGCAAAAGAAATTAAGTCTTCCTACAAACTCAAATTTTCTAGTTCATATCTTTGCAACCTGATTGTGTAAACCTTCAATATTTCAAACTATATACTTTTTAAACAAAATTTAGATCCAAAATGTATTCAATTTTCAAAATTTAAAAAAAACCTTCGTTATTTGAAAAAAACGGTAAATACAAAATTAATGAACAGAGAGAACTTTTGATAAACGACAAACGAAAAGACCATGTATAAGTTTTAATAAATAAAACGATTATTTCGCTATTACTTTTTTCGTTTTAAGGAAACAATCAGTTCATGTTTCAGAATTTAAAAAAATGCCAAATTCTTTACACTCCCTACGACGATTTGAGCTCCAATTCCGGCTGCGTTAAATGTCGTCCTCAAGTTCCAAATACAGAGATTTATCATTGTACACCCTCCATTTATATTATTAGATATATTTATCTTAACCACATCATAAATATCAAATATATTTCCTTTGTTAAAAATTTTGTTTGATTTTTTACAATTGAATATATTTTTCTCAGCAAATCACATCTCATGATATCAGATGTTCTTTTTCAAGGAAAGGATAATGACACCTCAGACATAAAAAGTTTCGCCTCCCAAAAATCCAGATTTAAATCTAACAAAATAATCAGAAAAATCTGCGAAATTTGTATGTGTTTATTTAACGTAGGGAGAAAATGGTGGCTTGACAGCATAAATAAAAGTTAGGTTGAGGTCGAATTTAAAGAATTTAAGCCGCGGCTTAAAATTGTATTAAATTTTTCAAGATTTAAGCCGGCGCTCAATAAAACCGGTTTTTGGGGGATTTAAGATGCGGCTTAAATTCATTAAATTTAGACATTGGTAACATACAACATGCATTCAGCATCACTACCATTACAATACAGTGAAACCCTTAATAACGAATACATCGGAAGAATTTATCAAATGTCGTCTTGACAATTTTTCAATGAGTTTTATACTATATTACGTAAATTTCAGTTTTTGCGAAAATAAATAAATATGCGGGAACAGTTTTAAAGAGTTCCATAACATCATTTAAGTAAAAAACTAAATATCTGCAACATTCCATTATCAGAAAGTGAAGAATACTACATTTGATAAATTCTTCCGATGTATTCGTTATTAAGGGTTTGACTGTAGCACAAATTGTAAAAAAGTGGTGTTACAAACCGAACACTGCCAAATTAAGCTGCACACTGCACCTGCCTCTAATAATAGGAGTAAATATATCTATCATACAGGGTTAACCACAAAGAATGCAACTTTAGAGACTTGGATGAGGTTGCACTTTATGTTGCTTTTTAATCATGCACATTTACACAGTAATACTGTATTTAAGATACAAGATACAAATTTTACTTTTGACTTTATTATTTACAATCCTATTTTTAAACGTGGAAAACTTATATTTCTTATTGTCTAAATAGTTTTTCTCTAAAAAATCTGATTAAAGTTTATTTGAATGTTAAGATAAATATTAGATTATGCAGTGCCTCTCGCTGCCCGTAAAATATTTAAAACATCTAATTCTGAAAAAAAAGTAAAATTATTTTTCTTAATTTAATATTACACACTCTTTTTTTCAGCATTGGAATTTGATATTAATGCTCTTGAAAAGAAAAATATTTGTTGATTTTATTAATATTTAAAAAACCTAATGTAGTAATCACAGGAAACAGTTGATATACGTACACTTATCACTCCTGTATGACGTGTCCATTAGCGCCTGATTCAATCAGGGTTCAGTTATGTGTTGGTTGTCTATTCTGAACCAATAGAAATAGTATGGCGGTAACATCTATCTTTCTATCTATCTCATTATCCAATTAGAGATATGAATCCTTCAATCAGGGTTAAGTCATGTGTTTGTTGTCTATTCTGTACTAATAGAAATAGTATGGCGGTAACATCTATCTTTCTATCTATCTCATTATCCAATTACAGTTATAAATCCTTGAATCAGCGCTATCAGTAAAAGGAAATAATTACTTCTTCCTAAAACTATGGTGTTATCTATAACATATATTATATATCTATGCATATACTTTGCTTGTCTGGGTGTTTTGTTTGTTACCGATAAACGGCTTAACCGATCGGGCCCACATTTTTTGGGACCTCACATGACCCGAAGGAAGGTTTATGGATGCAGAATTACATAAAATTGGAAACAGCAAAATTTAATTTTCGAAGAGAATGAGCTAAAAAATTGAGCAACAATAGAAAGTTGAAACAGAAGATTGGCGCGAAACGCCCTGACAGCCTGGTTAGAGAAATTTCAAAAAATTCGTTGACTTTGAAATAAAATCTTCACTCAGTTCAAAGATCGGAACTTTTATTCGTCTATTATAAATCTTAAATGATTGATCTAGATATCTACTTGGACACTTTTGAATTCAGGGATTAATATTTGATTTCTCAATTATGTGACCTCTGCAGAGTGTTAGCATCGAGGCATTGGAGCAAGGTTTTTAATTTATAATTCAGAAATATAATTTATATACTTGTAAATGTTGTTTCCATGGTAAAGTTTTTTAAACCCAAATTATTCTACTGGTGGAAGAGTAGATGGGTGATGAAGAGTAGATGGGTGATGAAGAGTAGATGGTTGATGAAGAGTAGATGGGTGATGAAGAGTAGATGGGTGATGAAGAGTAGATGGGTGATGAAGAGTGTATAGGTGATGAAGAGTAGATGGGTGATGAAGAGTAGATGGGTGATGAAGAGTAGATGGGTGATGAAGAGCAGATGGGTGATGAAGAGTGTATAGGTGATGAAGAGTAGATGGTTGATGAAGAGTAGATGGGTGATGAAGAGTAGATGGTTGATGAAGAGCAGATGAATGATGAAGATTATATGGGTGATGAAGAGTAGATGGGTGATGAAGAGTATATAGGTGATGAAGAGTAGATGGGTGATGAAGAGTAGATGGGTGATGAAGAGTAGATCAGTAATGAAGAGCAGATGGATGCAGATGAAGAGTAGATGGGTGATGAAGAGCAGATGGGTGCAGATCCCCCAAGACTTGGCAGTTAGAACAAACAGTCTGAGCTGAAGAGTTGAATTTAAATAAATTCGCTCCAGCGAATGTTGTGTGTATTTAGATCAACTTTAGTTGTTCCAACACTAATCGTTTGTATTGTTATAATGTATATATAGTTTGTGTGCAACCATGTTTTGCTATTTCATTCAATCTTGGCTTTTTACTTCTGAATTAATCCAATGCCTACTATAGAATCAAGTCTATAGTAGGCATTGGATTAATATTTTACAACATTCCTTAATCATATCCAGTGCTCTAGGACTCTGCTCATTCAAGGTTCAACGAACCTGCAAAGTCTCCATCGGCATCAATAATTCTCAGCTCCTGCATTGTTTAGCCCATAAATATTCCTCCATAATCCCATAGATCTTTAATCCTACATTTCTGATTATTCTCCAGTGCTCTAGGATTCTGATCCTGCAAGGTTTACCCCATAAAGATTCCTCCATAATCCTCTAGATCTATAATCCTAGTTCTGGTTGTTCTCCAGTGCTCTAGGATTCTGATCCTGCAAGGTTCATCCCGTAAATATTCCTCCATAATCCTCTAGATTTACAACCCTACAGTCCTGATTGTTCTCCAGTGCTCTAGGATTCTGATCCTGCAAGGTTTACCCCATAAATATTCCTCCATTATCCTCTAGCTAGATCTATAATCCTAGGTCTGGTTGTTCTCCAGTGCTCTAGGATTCTGATCCTGCAAGGTTCATCCCATATATATTCCTCCATCATCCTCCAGATCTATAATCCTACAGTCCTGATTGTTTTCTAGTACTCTAGGATTCAGCTCCTGTATGGGGTATGCCGGAACGATAGGACCGATGGCATCCGTACATTTAACCCATAGGAACAGGTTTACAAGAAAAGGGAAAGTGAACTCATTTTCTTTGATAATATACAAACCTAATGCTGAAATAAATACACTTGTCAGTACATAGACTGGTTTTAGGCCAAAATCAGAGTTTGGCAGGAAATGAACTATTCCAATAAAAACAAACAGTCCTGCTACAAACACAATCCCAATTGTCATGGTTTTTAATCGAAAGCCTTGGACATTGTCTTGGTTCTCGTTTCTAAAAAGAAATTTTAGAATGGTGTTTGAAAGTATGAAGATTGCAAGGTATACACTGACAATGATAGTATTTGCAAGCATAACAGAATCTTCCTCATCAGTTACAGGACATCTGCTTGGAAATGTTTCCATTGCATGTACAGTGCCTAAAAGAGTTCTAATTAAAGAAATAATTATTTATTTCATAATAATTTTTAAAATTTATTCTTTTAAGTTTTAAAATAAAAAAACTATTATTTATTTTAAAGATTTTGTTAAATCTAACAACAGAATTACCGACCAGGTTTGATCAGGGTAATAATCATGTTTTACAAAAAAGTTTTATTTTCCATGAATTTTTTAAACCTCTTATGGGTATATTTCAAAATGGTTTCCTGAAAGAGGCAGATAAACTT